TTTCCAGGAATGGCAAGACTCTACCTCACAATACTGATCACCATGAGGGTCAGGACTTCTCCCTGAGAAGAGGAACACTTACTGAGTCTCTAATAGCAAACCAGACACACATGAAGTTAATACACCAGCTGTACTTTAGACACCTTCAGCTTTTAGCAACTTTTCCCTTCCCATTTTCCTGTGCATTTGTTTTCTGTTTCCTTCCACAGGGCACAGACATGAATCCAACAGCACAAGACTGCACCCAGCAGACAGGGACTGGGCTGCAAAAGCCTGGACACTTGTGCTTTCTTCCTCGGCCACTCTCCTGCTGGTTGCCTCTGGCAAGTCTCTTTCTTCCCATCCTGCTGCTTCCTGGCCTGCCTGCAGAATACCAACTGCTCTGGAAGTGACCCGAGGCTCATCTAGGAAAAGGCTTAGAAGTACTATGGACTTGTAGCATTATTTGGTATTTTGAAAACAGGTACTAAAAGGCCACTGGTAGCTGAAACTAAGCAAGCGCCGTATTAAGTTGCCAGAGTAACTGTAATTCTGCCCTAGGCTGATCCAAAGAAGCAGAGAAACTATCACAAAAAGCAGTAATGAGCACAGAGACAAAGTGCTTACACACTGACAGGTGAAATAAGATTTCATGGGCAACCACAAAATTCACAGTCTAACTCTGTGCTCTGCAAGCCAGTCATGGCTATATGGGAGATGTACTTAAGTTCCTCCTTCCTAGAGAGGAGAACAAGAATACCACCAAATTCTAATAGTGTCAATATTACAATCCATAATCCGCAGAGTTACAGATCTGGAAACAGTGAAGGCTACCATGGCTCTGGAGACAAGGGCTGTGCTGGTGGAAGTCCCTACTCCCCTCTGCCTCCTGGGGATGAGACCAGAGCCAAGCTACCAGCACAGAGACCATCCTGGTTCTCTTCCTAACCCAGCCACAGCTCCCAGCTACAGGCACTGCCATGGGTACAAGTGCTGAGCATGGGTGCAACACTGGCACCAGCCCTGCTCTGCAAAATGTTGTCCCCAAACTGCGACACGTGCACTGAACAGCACCCGCTGAAGGCACCCTGCTTCATGACCCAGCACTGTGCAAGTAGCTGCTCACCTCAGAGGTGTTGCTCCCCTAGCAGTGTCCCTGGCCCACGGTCCCTGCTCTGGACCCTGTTTGCAGGGGTTTCCTTTAGGTCTCTGTCACGTTGCCAGGAATGCCCTGTGGTATGTGAGCAGCAGGAGGGAGGCTGGGTTTGCAAAGTCTGTACCTCCCCTGCACATGACTGGAATTTTCATGAAGAATGATGGCGCAGATCTAGCCCAAACACCTTCTTCCCGAGGACTTCCAGACTTCATTAGGGACTGCAGTGATCGGACAAGGGGTAATGGGTTAAAACTTAAACAGGGCAAGTTTAGATTGGATCTAAGGAGGAAACTCTTTCCTGTTAGGGTGGTGAGGCACTGGAATGGATTGCCCAGGGAAGTTGTGAACGCTCCACCCCTGGCAGTGCACAAGGCCAGGTTGGACAGAGCCTTGGGTGACATGGTTTAGTGTGAGGTGCCCCTGCCCATGACAGGGGGGGCTGGAACTTGATGATCTTAAGGTCCTTTCCAACCCTAATTATTCTATGATTCTATGAGCATCTCAGAAAAGATGGCCAGCCTCTTCTACAGGAAGAGCCGGTGACCCCGATGTCAAACTGGCCATCCCTGCCTAGGAAAAGTATCACACAGAAAGCTTCTTTCAAAATGACTCTCCTCCCTTCCTCCTCCCTGCCAGTCAAAGTTGGTAGCACTTAGACAAGCCTTTTTATTAGCACATTAGCACTGTGGGTTGCATTGTTCTCTTCTCTCTACATGTGGTTATTCTGGTCTTAGACCCTGAGCCAAGGCTAGAAACGTACCTCCCAAAGCCAGTTAACTATGTCCCCATGAGCACATCCCCTCCTCAACACCGAAGATCTGTGTCCCTTCAGGAATGGATAAAAAGGAATAAAAAGGGTGAGGGCCAGAGACACGGTCTATAGACTATATGGCTGAAAATAACCAAGTGCAAGTTTTTCCTCAAGGGAGTCTTCAAAGTGCCTTCTCAGCTGGAAAGTCTAAACACCACTGTCTCCTCTTTAAGCAGGCAGCAAACAAACAACTGGCCTCAGCTGTGTCCCAGCCTCCCCCCCCCATGGCTCCCTTCTTTCCAAGCAAAAAGGCCAGGCCAGCCCTTTCCACAGCAGCCCCTTCTTAGCTAAACCCTGCAGACCTGGAGCATGGCACAACACAGCTTCACCCACCATGTCAGTAACTCATCCTCCCACCAGGCCCATTCCTCACTCACAGACCCAGCAGGGCAGGATGCAGACTTTGCCTTCCAAGAGCAAACAAGACCCAGGGAAGTCCAGGGAGCACCACACAGCAACTGCCACCAAACCTCAGATACTGCCATGACCATGCCAAGGTGCCCGTGCTGTGCTCTGCAGAGGCACCAGCAGAGATATGCCCTCACTTGACACACAAGGTTGCCTTCCCCACAACTTTTCGTGTGACCGGGGTGGAGCTGACTCCAAAAAGTCACCATGGAGAAAACTTGAAGAGCTTTTAAAACCCTGCAGTTCTAGTTAGTTAAATGCATGTCAAGGACCCACTGCTGGTCAAGGCAGCTCTTCATCCACACCAGTTTAGGGTGGATGCAGGCTATGCCCTGGAGAGAAGCCCATGAGAGAAAACAAGATCTTGCTGTGTCCCTTAAATACAGAGACATTTTGGAAGAAGGCAGCAAACCATGTCTGCAGAGACCATGAACCTAGAGGTTCCCAATGAGATAGAAATAGCAGAGGAGGATCTGAACAATACAGACGTCTGTAATAGAAAGGGTGTAAACAGCCAAATCGGGTCGCAGAGGAATAGCAGGGGAGCAGCAGGCAAAATAAAAATAGCAGGAAAGGAAAGATAAATACAAAATTCCTAAAATATATGAGGAGTAAACAGACTGACAAGGAAACAAGAGAGCCATTGAGTGGGAAAAGGAGAAGAGCTGTGCAGAGGCAGCCAGGGTAGGCCAAGGATTCAACCCAGCCCCACAGGGGAAGGGAGGAAAGAAGGCAGCTGAGCTATTTCACTGCAGCAGCAAGGAGGGGAAGAGGAAGATGACTCGGCCAGGAAATTACAACCATCTGCACTCAGAACAGCAGCACTGGTGGAGCAGTTTCACCTTCACTCTGTGAAACAGGTGACAGAGCCAGCCTGCTTCTCCACCAGGATGGATGCTGCGCTGGATCTTTCTTCCCCATCCCCACCACTCACCGTTTCCATGCTCTGGTGGCTTGGTCTTGCCTCCAGCTCTTTCAGCTAGATGAGAATATTTTGGGATAGCAATGAGAGTGGCAGGTAAAAAGTGATTCCTGCACAGGGAAAAGGGCCAGACTGGTACAACCCTGCGTGAAGATGGAAGCAGCCCCTGCCTCTCTTAGTGCTCCCTGCTTCATCTCCACCACTACCATGGGGGCTTGCCTGAAGCCTGGTGCAAAGCAGCTGCTTATCACTGGTCCCTCCTAGAGTCTTGTTCTGTCTGTGCCTTTCCATTCTGCTCCAGCACCACAAAAGAGGCAGTTTCATCCACAGAAATCCTCCTATGGCTGGAATGACTTTGGGGTCTGCCCACACAGCAGGCATGAATCCTCCTGGTTTTTCTCCCTCTAACTCCTCATACCTCCCCCTGTCCTGTCTTTCTCAGCCAAATTAATTCCCACAACGGATAAGAAGCCAAAAAGCTGACTTAAAGAAAAAAAAACATTTTTGGCGCATATGATAATGTGTCCAATGCCTAAATAAGAAGTCCAGGATGCACACAGCCTAGCCCAGAACCCAGCAGGGCTGAAAGCAAGGGGGTCAGGAGATGGGCCTGGAAAGGTTCAGGATAAGCAAAACACTGATGGAGCAGCAGAGCACCTGTAGAAAAAGAGACAACAACAGAGGGGACAGAAGCCTGGAAAGGTGTTTCCATTCCCTGCATGGGGCTGAGCACCCCATGGCACTGGGTCAACAGACAGGGCCCAACTGCAGAGCCCATCACCCCCCAGTGAGCACCAGGACAGGGTGCACACTGCGTGATGCTGGGTGCTGCTGAGGTGTTCTGGCTCAGGGCTGCGGCTCTTCACCTGCAGTGAAGTCAGTCCTGCTTCCTTCTGCAGACAGGAAGCCAACGCTCCCCTGCTGACCCCAATGTTCACGTATCACACAAGAGGCCTGAAGCAGCAGCAGTTCTAATGAGGCTGTACTTTCTAATGATTATTTACTATTGATCTGACATTTTACACCCACCCAGGGTAAGTTCAGTGCTTCCAAGCTGCCTCCTGTAACCACCAAGGTTGGTAACTTACCTTTCCGATGGGAACCATGGCTCTCACCTAACACGATCATAGCAAAACCCAGGCCAGCCTGAGCTCTGCTCTGGCCTCCCGCTGCAAGCAGGGTCTGCTCCGAGCTCAGACCTGGTTACTCGGGACTTTACCCAGGCTGCTCTTGCAAACCACCACGGATGCATTAGACACAACCGCTCTGACCAACCTGCTCCACAGCTCGGGGGAAAGCCTTCCCTTCCACACACCCTCAGCCTCTCCTCTTTCCACTTTATGCCCTTGTTCTCCCACTCTCCCACCACTGGGAACTGCCCGGCCCCGCACTCCCCACCACCCCCTCCCAGGGGCTGCCACTGCCTGGCCCTGGAGCCCCGAGGAGGGGCTGTGCTGAACCCGCTCCGGGTTACCAGGGCGGGGACCGCAGCTTTAGGGTTTAAACCGCCACCAGACTCCATCCCCGCAGAGGCCGGCAGCACCCAGCGCCTCCCCTGCGGGTGGCGGCAGCCCCGCCGCGGGCCCTCTCCCCGCCCGCCGCCATCTCCGCGGAGAGGGCCGCCCTCTGCCGGCCGCGCCGCAGCCCCGCGCCCCGCCACATCCCCTGAGGGGACGGCGCCCGCCGCTCCCCCGCTACGCACCCCCAGCGCCATGAGTACTTACTGCCTTGTGAGGCTCCTTCACCTGAGGCAGCTTCAGTGTCTGCAAAGAGAAAGAGCTGCACTTAGATCCGCAGGACGACTCTGCCCCGGCCGCGGCTCTTCTCTGCTATCGCAGCCCCCGACGCGCGGCCGAGCGGAGCCGCTGCCTCGGCCAAGAGGTACCGGCTGCCTCGGGGGCCGGCGGCTGCTGACAGCGCGGGCTGCCAAAGGCCGTGGTGGGCTCCGAACCGGACGGCTCAAGGCCCGCCTGTTGAATCGCGGCTGCCCGCGGCCCTTGAAGAGCCTCCAGGACCGGGCCCTCCTTTCCCACGCTGTCACAGGGGCCTGGACTCCAAACGGGAGGGCTCAAAGGGACGGCCCAACCCCTGCTCCGAGGGTGCCCTAAAGAGGGTCTGAGGGGCGCGGGATGCGAGGGACTGCAGCATCGCCTCCCTGCTGCTCCCTGCAGCTCTGCCGCCACCCTCCTCCGGCCCCAGGCCGCTGGTGGTGCGCGTCCGAGCAGAGGGACCCTGACCACGGTGGGCACAGCCCGGCCTAATGCACCCCAACGGTCCCACTCAGCGGCGGAGCTCAGGACCATGACTTGTATCAGCTCCTGCTGATGACTGGAAATCGCTCATGTGCTCAATGCCTGGACAGGTGCTGTCAACCCAGGAAAGCAAGCATCCTGCTCCACTGCCGTGCCTCCCCTTCACTGCAGCGACGGCAAAGCCTCTGCTAGAGATGGGCCACAAGATCCTCCCCCCCTGGGATATTCTACCCTGGTCTTCTTAAGGGGACATGGGAAAAGATGGGAGAAAAAGCTCCCTCCTCTGTAACACGTGGGACGGCAAGAAGCACTCAGTAAAGATCACATTCAAACCCTAAATGAGTGCAACAGGAAAAGCTGCAAGCTGGAAAACAAAACCCAGTGTTACAAGTCAAGGATCATAAGTGATTAGGATTTCCATGCCGTTTTGAAGTGTTTCATTTTCATCCTAAATTGCATATACTGTATGTCACATTATCTAATAACAGAACTACGTTTCAAAATATTCCATCTGTCTCTTGGAATCATGCTTGCATTGCTCTGGAAACCACAGCTGCAGAATGTCACAGCACTTCTGAATTTGAAGTCTGCAACCTTAAGTAATGAACAGTTTGCATTTAATTTCCTTATTTCTTAAAAATAACACAAAGAAATGATTGTGGGTTTGTGAATTTGTACATTTCTACTAGATTAACCTGCCTGATTAGATCACTTTTCCAGGCAACGATATTAATTTGGCACAAATTCACCAACTGCGGGGCCAGATCAGAAACCCTCAGCATCATATGTAAAAACCTCGACAGTCAAAGCCCTGTATTTTTCCACAGCTGCTACTTGTTTGAATTACCACCTATCACTCAAGGAAAAAGCTCGCTCTGGCACAATGGAATTCTGCAAAATGCTGTCCTGGCATTCACAGACAACGGCATAAATAAACCATAAGAAAGATGTACTATACACGCACCAGGCCATTTCTGTCATTTAAATAGCCTAAAAAGTACTTTGGTCAAACTTAACAAGATTCAAGCAATGCACAAAGGCTTAAGGAGCAGCCACTCCTGAACTGTGTTAAGAAATGGTGTTTCTCTTAGTCATAAGACAGACTAAAGTCTTCATGAATAAAAAAGAAACCCGTAAAAATCCCCTAACAGCCCACTCTAAATCACCTTTGGGCTGAGACCAAGTAATTACAGCTTTAAAACAAAAGACCAATTTCTGAGAAAGTTGCAAAAGTGAGAGAGAGTAGGGAGGCTGGCAGGGAAGCTGGAAACCAGGCGAGTTAACTCCTGTGGCTCAAGCCACTTTCTGCATCTCCTATAAAAACCTGCTGCAGGCTGGGAAACGTACACAATGAAAAAACAGATGCTTGGGATGCAGCAGGAAGGGCTCAGAACCCCCCAAATTCTACATTGGCACCCAAATGAAACCCAACTTTCTTGAGCTCAGAAACCCCAGCTCTCCTCAGGAATGGTTATCTCATGGTTAATTTTCAACTTCTCACCTCAAAATGGTTTCAGTCACAGAACTGCTCCAACCGAGACTCCCAGAACGTCCACTTTGGAAAAATGCATTTTTCCACATTCACAATTTGAACAAGTCATCTTCCTTTTCATATTGTTGGGATCGGGCAGAATCTCATTCTTGTTAAATATTAATCCAAAACTTTAAAAGCTTTGAGAAGTTTTTAACAAGTGGTTCAAGCAGAAACTTCACCTGGAGAACACAATCCTACAGTAGTGCACTCAGCAGCTGTCATGAGTGATGATGGCACATCAGCCCTCAGCCTGCACCCACATGCGGGAAGGTAACACAGAGCCAATCGGTTCAGAGGCAATGCAGCAAATAGCAATGTAAATAAATAACAGAGGGAAATAACTGGAGCAAAATCATCATTCAGCCCAGAGAAGCTTATCTGGGAACAGAGAACTTCCACCAATTATTAGGACAGAGGCGATATATCCTGCGAGGGTTAAACTTGAGCCTTGCTATTTTATTTCATTGGCTTTCTGAAGAATTCTCCTCCTGGTAAAAAAAAAAAATCTCCCCTGCTTGGCCTCAGCCCAGAGGTTTTTAAATTTACTGTTTGCAAGTCTAATGAAGTAATTTCAGCCTTTCTTTTTGGTGAGTTATCTAGAAGTGAAATAACTTTCCTGACTCAAAACATGCAGATGTTTTGCTGCTCATATTGCTTAAATACGACTCAACCATACAAAACAACTTTCTAGCTGACTGACTCCTGAAGGCAATCCAAACCTTTCAACGGCTTGAAAAACCCCACGCAGCTAAACAGAAAGCACTGTAAGCAAAACATTTTTCAGGCCTGGGTTGCATGTAGGCGAAGCAGTAACGTTTGTGGGGATGGAGCCTTCCACCAGCACTGGGAATGCACAGCCCCTCTGCTCCCGCTGAACTCCAGCAGCTCTGCGGGAGGAAGGAGCCGCGGTCCTGCCGGGCCGCACAGCAGCTCACAAAGGAGCCTTTCAGCTCCACAACAACTTTTTTTATTGTTGGGTTTCTTTATTACTTTCTCGGTGCGTTGTGGGGAGGTGGAGGGGAAGGAACGAACCTTTTCACTTCTTCCCTGATAAAATGCAGTGAGGAAATTTCTCACCTACGTTTCTGGTTCTTTGCAGAACGCTTTACATGGGGTTTTCCAAGTCTGCATCTTGGCTTTCAGAGCACAGCTCAAGCCCCTTCGAGGCAGCATGTCTTGAACAAGAGCTGCCTCAACCTTTTGCACTTGTGAACTACCAGGAGATCAGTGGGTCCCTGAAATTCTCCAGCCAATGCTGAGCGTCACAGGGGAGGCTCAAGAAACTCAGAATATGCCCCATTTTCCAATGAGAAACCACGTGTTCCTGAAGGCAGACAAGAAAAAACGATCAATCTAGAGAACACAGGTCACCTCCAACACAACTTCTCTGCCATGGAGATCTAATGAGGAGGCAAGTGCAGTTGGTAAATAAAAATCTAGGGAATTTCTGCTCCAAATGATCATTACAAAGCAAACATGATGTCGCCAGTGTGAGACTCTTAACGTGGAGCTGAACAGCTCAAAGGATGAGAGGAAACTGAAGTGTGGCACAAGGCAAAGCAGTGAGGACGGGCTGCAAGAGCAGAGGGTGACCACCTTCCTGCCTCGCTGGCCATGAGCTGCAAGGCCTGGGCTCCTCTGCTGCAGCTCCCAACTGCACACTGGGATCTACAAAAAACAGCTTAGAAACAATAAGCAAAATAAGTTCAAAGCAAGAACAACCTGAGACTTCCAAACCTTGCAGCCTGAGAAACAGAGGTTGTGTCACTGAATGGTGACAGTGGGGCTGGCTGGACAGATGGGTTTTCACTTGTTTTTGCCCCTAAGGTCCAATCCAGATCAACAGTTACTGTCTGCTCTCCCTTGGGCTGAGCCTTTTCCATCACCAGCTCTGTCCATCTGCAGGAGCAATCCACAGCTTGGCCAAGGACCATTAGTAACACAGGAACCACACAAGGAATCGGAAAGCAGAGGGCTGTCAAGGGGATGGGGTACATCCTTCAGCAAATCACAAGCAGCAGATGCTTCTGCCCGAATGCCCAAAAGTTGTTCAGATGCTTTCCTGGGAGAAAGCTTCTGAAGAGAAGAAAAAGGTGCCTGAGCTTGCTCTAGCTACTGTGATGCTGAGCTGCTGAGCTTACCCAGGATCAGTCAGCCCTTCAGGGAAAGGCAGATGTTACATGACTGATGGGTGGCCCAGAATTCAGAGAAACCACAGCTAATGCTCAGAAAACGCATCAGGCAAAGAAGGAATGCCAGGTCCTGCCCTGCAGTACAGCTCCTTCCTTGCCCAGCCAACAAAAAATGACTGAAAGAGTCAGGATCTGAGGTTCTGGCAGCTGATAATTGTGTGTAATAGGCCGAGGGAGCTCAGTTTTCAGCACTTCATGGAGAGGCAGACGTAGGAGAGATGGCTTGCCAGTGCTTGGGGTTTACCCAAGACATGGACTGAAGGACACGGGAAAAACATGCAAAGTGCAGGATCACATCCTCAGTGGACATACAGCCACCAAGATTGTTACGATGGTGCAGCACCAGCCACTTCTTTGATATGAAACCTTACACACATGTGGCTATACAAGCATCTTCCACAAAAATTCTTTTCAGTCCTGCAGCCTTATGCTATTTCCAGCACTGTTGCTGGTACAGTTCCATGTACAATCCCCACTGGATAACATCACATAGATATTTCCTCCATATAATCCTCCTTTTTTCCTCACTACACATCACCTGCGCAGTCAGTGGCCTGTTACCTCTCTGCAGACAGGTAGGTACGTGTTCCCAAATGCTTCAACTGCCAACTCAGGTTCTGTTCCTGGGAGAATCCCATTCCCATTTGATTTCTTGTTGTAGAGTGTACATGAATAAATACTTCATTTTGATTTTTATTGTCTTAAGGCAATTCAAATGCACTTTAGTTGTTACTGCATGCATCAATTTACTGTAACATAAACCAACATTTGCTAAGTTTCCCACCTATAAACTGTGCTTCTCCCCCACTGCTGTGAAAATCACTCACACGTTTCCACATTCCAAGTTTTGAAGATTGCCATCTTCTCTAGCTACACATTAAAAAGGCTTTGGAAGCAAAAGGTAAGTCATGTCTTCACTGAGTTCATGACAACACTATGGATATCAATTGTACACGTGTGTGTTGATGCATCCAGACTGTTTAATTCATAGCTTGATTTCAAGATGAAAATAGAAATACAAATCAGTTGGATCACACATTAGGAAGTGACCTTGTACTAACAGAGTTCCCAAAATTCCATCTGAGTTAAGGATCCCATAGCGCTAGAGAAGTAAAATAAAAGCAATCCTTGTCTCAAATCTAAATACTGCAATTATTATTGCAAAACTATTGCAATGCTGTGATGCAAGAGTACAGCATTCTGCATGTCAGCAAATAACTGCTGCTCACCATTATTATAGGCATTCTTTTTCTTAAACTGCAGGGTGAAGTTACTTTGCAGTTACATTTAAAGGACTTTTAGGAATTTTCTTCTTATTTTGAAAGGAATTCCAGCATTGAAAAACAATTCTGCATGTACCTAAGGATACAGAGGAAGCTTTGTGATGTTAAACAGCACAGAAGGAACATGCAACTATGTAATTAAAGGACTGGAAACCTCTAAGAAGTTAAGGATGCATGTTCACCTTGCAGCTGGGCATTTCCCGACTGCTGAGAGCTTACACATTTAAAACTTAACATCCCATTAGCCTTCACTAGTCCTGCAGTTTCAAACTTTCCACTGGGACTTTATGCCCATTTAGACATTCCAGTCAATTGTTTTATTGAGGACCACATGTGCTGATACTGGTAGTTACAATGGAGGACCTAAGGCAGATGCTCCTACAAGCTGGACACACAGACTTCAGCGCTCAGTCCAGGTAAAAGGAAATAAAACCACTGAAAAGCTCCTGAGCTAGTTTCAAGTCCCTGGTGCTCTTTGAGATCCATGTTTCTCCAAATTACACGAACTCCACTGATTGTACAAAGCTCTGAGCAAAACTTCCACATTTCTGCAATTAAGCAATATGGAACTGACCAGTCTTACAGAAAACTCAAACAAAGTCACTCCTGACCAAGCAGGAGATGCTTCACACAAACAATACATGTGGGAAGTGACCTCAGCTGACAGTAGGGGTATGGGGCTGAGTTCAACTTTGATTTTAACATCAAAATACAGCAGCTGAGCAATGCCAGTATCTGACTTTGTAACCTCCCATCTTAACAGGGATGGACTAAACCACCCAGCCGGGTGGAAGCATGGAGCACATCAGGGAGATGCCCAACCCTGCGGTGGGTGGTAGCTACACTGCTGGCAAGTGCTAGATGCCAGGAGAAACTTGTTGATTTGCAGCTCTCCCAACACAGAGTGATGCCTCGAGAGAGCCCTGGGCAGGTAAATACTGCACCGAAGCAAGAGCTGCCCCTGACCTCAGGAGAAACACTGCTGGAAAGCCACAGAGCTTAGAAAGCCCCAAAGTTTAGCCTATGAATGGGCCACCCAAAAGAAGCATTACTGATGAACTGAGAGGAATCTGCAAGACCTTCCTGAAAACAGTCATAGAATCCCAGCCTGGTTTGTGTTGGAAGGGACCTTAAAGCTCCTCCAGCCCCAATGCCTGCCACGGGCAGGGACACCTTCCACTAGAGCAGCTTGATCCAAGCCCCTGTGTCCAACCTGGCCTTGAACACTGCCAGGGATGGGGCAGCCACAGCTTCTCTGGGCACCCTGTGCCAGCGCCTCAGCACCCTCACAGGGAAGAACTTGCTGATACCTAATCTAAATGTTCCCCCAGGATTCCCAAAGATTTGAGCAGGAGTGAGATACCTCTGTGTGCTCGCACATGGGTCTGGAAACAGTTGTAATACTTGTATTTCTTCCCACATATTCCACACTCATAAGACCCTGAAAAACAAGACAGAAAAGTATACATCACCATATTAGATCAGGAAAAACAGCCTCTCCACATACTTATCCATAAACTGGGGACAAAAGAATGCAGTTTGCAGCAAGCAATTTTTGGAAGGTTCATGGAGATAAATGCAGGAAATCACTATCCCAGACTCAATTCTTTTTTCAGCTTTATTTAAGATTCCTTGGCATATTACCCTGAACTCACATTTTCACTCTATTTTTTTAACTTTGCTGACATGAAAAGGGCCACTCTCAAAATAGCCCGATTTATAATTTTATAATAATGACTAATATTTCCTATGGACAGAAATAACCTTGAATTACTTTTCAGTAAGTTCCTAGTATATGGGAAAAAAAGCTCTTCCACTGAAAAAAAGAAGGCAATATGTTATCTGGAGGCAAAGAGTTTTCAAAATTCCTCAAGAAATGCACAATGTACAAATTTCTCAAGAAACCCACAGAGATTTGGTAAATATCCACCCAGAGGAAACCAAAGAGATACAAATAGAACTTTTGACCTTTTTAAGGAAAAGCACATGACCACAGTAGTCTCTCTTCTCAATTTGTGCCTCTAATTCCAGAAAACACACATCTGCAAACAGTCATTTCAAATGAAACCAGAGAAACATTGCTGGGAGAATCATCTGTAATGATGAAATTATGCAATGAATTTACCCTCTTCTGTTTATTGGACAGGCAGAAATTTCCTCAGATTTGTTATTAAAGTTGATTCAGCCTCTTCCCCCACTCCAATGTGAACAGGCTAGAAATTCACCTTTCAAGCTCTTTCTTACAACATGTATTGTGTTTCTTAGCTGTTCACCAGCAGGTAAACAACAGTGATCCTACCTGTGCTCCTCAGTAGGATGACAGGAGCACTTAGGGAACAGGAGGTGGGATGAAGAAGAGCTGAATCTTATTTTGTGTGAATGTAGTATTTCATAGAATCCCAGCCTAGTTTGGGTTGGAAGGGACCTTAAAGCTCGTCCAGCCCCAATGCCTGCCATGGCCAGGGACCCCTTCCACTAGAGCAGCTTGCTCCAAGCCCCTGTGTCCAACCTGCCCTTGAACACTGCCAGGGATGGGGCAGCCACAGCTTCTCTGGGCACCCTGTGCCAGCGCCTCAGCACCCTCACAGGGAAGAGCTTCTGCCTAAGAGCTCATCTCAGTCTCCCCTCTGGCAGGTTAAAGCCATTCCCCTTGGCCTGGCCCTTGTCCCAAGCCCCTCTCCAGGTTTCTTGTAGCCCCTTTAGGTGTTGGTCTCTCATTTCCATGGATGTTTCCTCATGCAACCTTGAAACAATCTTTTCCTGACCATGCAAAACAGTAAAACTCAGGATGAGGCAGAAACAGGAACAAAACATTCACACACACCCCTAAATAAATATTCCCAAACATCATCTTAACAGCAATACTTACCCAGCACTGCTCACTGCTACAAGTGAGCTCTTTCCAGGAATAAAACCAACCATGCCCTTTGAACACACTGGACCCATGTTCTGTTTTTCCCTTTCCATGCCCTATTGCTTACAGCTTGGGAAGAAAACAACTCTCCTCCCACTTTGTAGCAGTGATGAATTCCCTGTCCATCCCTGTTAGCACCACTTAGGAGTGCCTTTTGAGCTTGGGAGGCTACTATGTCACTGATGCTGAACAAGGCAATTTGCTACAGTCTGACAGACAAGACTACACATCTGAAAAAATACCCTAAAATACTGATCTGACAGTCAGATGACCACGTCTGACCTGCTCCACAGCCTTTTGATTATCAAAGCTAGTTGTATATTATATAGAGGTCACAGAATCATAGAATGCTTTGGGTTGGAAGGGACCTTCAAAGCTCATCCAGTTCTAACCCCCCTGCAATGAGCAAGGGCATCTTCAACTAGATCAGGTTGTCCAGAACCACATCCAGCCTGGCCCTGAGTATCTCCAGGCACGGCACATCTATACACAGATATACATACAGGTATATATATGCATATACAGCTCTCACCCATGGTTGCTCCAGACAGGCTTTTCTAAATGAAATCCCGCGTTATCTCCAAGCCAACAGCATTTGCCAGCCCTCAATTCTCCATGCTCAAGGATCAATTATATTCATTGCCAACCTCCAAAATTCTTTCCTGAAAACTATTCCAGCTGGAGCCCCAAAGCAGCATGACCAGAAGACGCACTGACCATCACTTGGGCCCTACCAACCTGTGCAACAGCAGAGGTTCAACTGTACCAACAGCGAAACATAACTGACACCCACCCATACCCTGACACAGCGCTGCACACACCCAGAGCACTGGGAAAAGACACAGAACACAGTGAGAGGCTCTAGGCTGAGCTTTCCCTCTATTTTTCTTCTATTTCTCCCTTCCTCTGGAAATAATCTATAGCACATGAACGCATCTGGCTGTGCAGAAGGTCTTCAAGAAGAGCACAATGTGTGCAAGTCACTGTGTAGTGCCTTTCCTCTCCAATACGAAACCAAACCAGTGCTGTAGCCCTTGTGCAAGGGGCTTTGCCTGGAAAGCAAGGGCAGGAGCCAAAGGCAGGAGAAGGACCAGTCAGTCCCATAGCTAGTGATTTTGCATAGATGTCCTCAAGCACAACCTAGGAAGGCTGGAGTCATCTTCTTTGATGGGGGTACCTCTACCCATCTCCTGTGGGGAGACAGCAGTCCTGCCTCAGCACAGCAAGTTTGTGGAGGATGCAAGGGAGGAGCATTACAGATCTCAGGTCCTACAAGCACCAAGAAGTAACTCAACAGCCACAACTGTACTCAGCCCACCACAATTTGGGAGGCAAATGCACACATCCTCTTATTAAAGAAAGAATAATAATTTGTCACAAGAAATGTGTTATTAGAGTGGAGGAAAGATGAAATGGGAAGAAGAAAAGACACTGCTATGTTGTAAGGCCTTACAAAGAACATGCCTGTGTTGCCTTGACAGTGCCACCGTGGTCATGGCTTATCTTGGATTTGTCCACACCAAGATGTGTCATGCAGGTTAAAGCTGTTTCTAGTAGGAGGGGAGATGGGGAAGGGTTTTGGTTAGTTGGTGTATTCAGTTTTGCCAGGCTTTTCCCAAGCCTCACAGCTGGAATTTGGGCAACACACCCATTGCATCCGGAGCTTTCCCTTGCTCCCTGGTTAGACTTTCACACTCTTCCATCACATACCGGACGTGTATCTCAATGCATGGTCAAAAATCCAGGTCCCTGAATATCGATTTCGTGTATATCCAACAGGAGAGCCACGTTCCACTGCTTTTCCATCTAAATTATGCAAAAAGAAATCAGAAAAAAGCCCTTAAAGCGGATGCATTTCCAAAGAATAATGATGCCTGAAGCCCATTAAAAATTGCCAAGACCCATCTGTCCCTGTGCCTTGCTAACAAGATGTCAGAGGTCACACAGAAGTTCTTAAGGCTTCCGCAGCCCTATTTTACTTGGTATAACTAGGGATTCTCCAAAGTGCTCTTGAATTACCTATGCCGAGCAGCACAGCAACCGAGACATCAGCATCATGGCACAAATCAAGCATGTGCGTGTCAGATTGAGAGTCTCAAAGCAGAAGGATTCACTCTTTGTCTCAGAAACATTTCTGATTTAATGCATTGCTTGAAAACTCCTCTCCAAAATGTTTCTCATAAAGCACAGACCAGACTGCAAGCTTAAACAGTCTCATTTAAAAGTTCCCCTGATCAACTCGCAGATAAGCCTGTCTTTCGAAACACATATTGACCTGATGGCATTCCCAACATCAGAAAATGATCCACACCAGCCAAACAGCCTCTCTCCTTTCTCTTCACTTACAACACAAGCACCATTTGCTTCTCCTCTCATTTCTAGACAGCTTCATGGTGCACTCCAGTGCCTTTCTGCCCTGACACCCCAACCTGAGAAATGCTGCTCATAGAATCCCAGCCTGGTTTGTGTGGGAAGGGACCTTAAAGCTCCTCCAGCTCCAACCCCTGCCACGGGCAGGGACACCTTCCACTAGAGCAGCTTGCACCAAGCCCCTGTGTCCAACCTGGCCTTGAACACTGCCAGGGATGGGGCAGCCACAGCTTCTCTGGGCACCCTGTGCCAGCGCCTCAGCACCCTCACAGGGAAGAGCTTCTGCCTAAGAGCTCATCTCAGTCTCTCCTCTGGCAGGTTAAAGCCATTCCCCTTGGCCTGTCCCTACAGGCCCTTGGCCAAAGCCCCTCTCCCACTACCAGAAGACTGTTACAACATCTCTCCTTAAGAAGCCTTCTCTTCTCCAGGCCGAAGGAGCCTGGATGTGTTGGAGCTCTTCAAATGACCTTGGCCCAAGGCCAGCACGTGAAACCCAGCAAGGAAAAAGAAGAACAGGGCACGTTGTACCTCTGAGGTGTGCAGGACAGGAAACACACCGCCTATGAGGCAGGGAGGTCTGGTGGCTCTGCAAGGGGTGCCAGCTGGAGGATGGGGACCAGCATGGATCCACACTGGTGGTACCAGTCTGCTGCTGCTGGCTGACCCAGGCTTGAAGCCAACCTCTCCATTGGCTTTCTTTGCTTGGCATGCCCAAAGGGGGTCCCCAAGGGGCTTGCAAAGCTTCTGTAGAAAAGTAGCTGAAAGGAAAATGGTCCAAAGCCACAAACATCAGCATCCGCTCTTCGGGGAGGGATGGCAGCCACTGTCCCCACCCATCCGGCTTGGCTCCATCCACTTCCAGGCATCATGGAGTCCGGGTTGCTCCAAAGGGCTGGAAACAGAGTCTGAAGTAGTGCAAAGTGCAGGGAGAGACATGTGAACGTGTAACTGAACAGGAGGCAGCGCACACAAGGCCTCATCTGATGAGAACACTACAAGCAAATAGCAGCAGCTGAGCTGGGAATCCCTGTTACAAAGTGCTCCAAGAAACAACTGACAATGTAAATACAGCCCACTCCTGCAGGAGATGTGTGACTCAGAGCAGAGACATAAATCTTCTACAGCACGTTTCAGCCAGCTCCCGAGGCCGAGCCCCGCAGGAAGCCGGCTGGCTCTCACTTGGAGCCACATGTGCCCCGAAGCCTCAGCACCGTGGCCCCAGCTCAGACAACACATCCCCCACTTAACCGACCGTGCCCAGAACACCATGGAAGGAGACAGTCCAGGGGTCAGCGCTTCCATGGGAAGGAGAGGGATTCATTTCCTCCCGATTCACCACTTCACGCTGCATCATGAATTACTGTAAGAAATAACCGCTTTCGACACCTCCCATCTCAGCTTCCCTGATGAAGGCGAATAAAATCCCAGCAAAGCAATGCCTTTCTGCACAGCTGAAGTGATTTAGATACAGGGCTACCAGAACACATCACAGGAAAGGCTTCAGGGAGGAAAACTCCTGGAAGTACCAGTGAGCAGCAGCAGAGAGCTCAAAGCCTTTGCTCTGGAGGCAGGAGGCACCGGTGTCTTCAGCTGGCAACTGGGGCTGTTCCAGAGCAGCAGCCGGAACCGCCAGCAGAGCTGCAAGGATGGGACACTTCTTATGCAAGTTACACAGATGTCTGCAGCCATGGAACAGTGCCTGGCCATGGTTTCTGCAGGGTGATGGAGGGGACCAAAAGAATTGACTGGGAGCCAGTTCAAGAAACCACAAGGAACAGATAGGTATCTGGGCACCAGTTGGTCCACACAGAGCCCAGTATTTGGTGGCCAAAGACAAGTTATTCAGAGCCACCTCCCCAACAGTTATGTGAACGGTGGATGAATGGGGGCACTTACAGGGCTCTTTTCACAAAGGAACCCATCAACTGCCAATTGCCTCAGGACCAAGTCGCCTTTAAAGAAAGCCAGGGAGAGTCTCTAAAACAACAAGTATGATGCACTTTTCATGTGAAAAGGCCCTTCCCGATAGTAGTTCTCCAGTTTACTTTCTACAGCTTTCAACCACCACTTGTTAACCAGCACACAGCTCGCCATCCCTCTCCCCACGGTGCTTATACATCAAACCACATCCCCCTTCATGCCAGCCTGTCCCCAACGCTCTCCATAAGTACATGCTGGTGAATGTCCAAGTCAACCAACAGCAAAAGCCCACTCCCCACTTTGCACAACAATACAGTCAACCTCATCATCTGCAGCCCAGCTAATGCTGCCCAGCCACAAGCCATGGGGAGAAGAGGTCCAACAGAGCAGACAGCCAAGCTGCAGATGCTTTCATCAAGGGCTGGTGATGATGGCTGAAGGAGAAGCTCCCATCAGTGGTCACATCCCCACCCTTCCCTCCCAGGGCACCAGGAACACCTGTGCATTTCAGGGTTGCCCATGCAGTGATCACCCTCTCAAGAGCTGTGGAGGATCAGCAACTCTGAATACACACAGAATAATTCCTCCAAATCTTTAATTCAGAAGCAGTTTCAGACTTCCCAGGCTTTCCCCAAATGTTCTCACCCTGCATGAACAGCAGTGACCTCCCACCTTACCATTCTTAGTGGCTGTCCTACTGGGGAACAGAAGGACAATGATGCTCCCGAGACATTGACCAGCTACCAATACCCCCAGGGTTTCTTTCCAACAGCATAGACAGTGATCAAGCAGAAACCAGGAGAAAACCTAACACTGGTTCCTCTTTTCTCTCCCCCTGCAAGATAAACCAACCCCAACAGCAACACTGGGCAGCTCAAGCCAGCTTTCTCCTGAGTCCTTTGAAGGGAACATGGTCCAAGTGCTGCTTCTTCTTACTTCTGCCCTTCACTCTTAAGAGTCACTGCTGGGACCTGCTCCATGACAGAACCAACAGAGGAGTCCCTTTAGCAAGTGGTGCCTCTGCAGGATCTCTGGAGCAGGAGGACAGGACAGTGATGTCCACAGGGAAAAAAAAAACCATAAAGAGCTTCTTTTCATCACAGTTTGAGGTGGGGTGGGGACAGGAACTACTGTTTTGGACCTGGCACCCTGCAGACACCCAGAAGACAAAATTATGCCCTCAAAGTTACTGGTGAACAGAAAAACAACCAACCCATAAAACCTGGTTTGAGCTAAATCTAATTATTTACAGAAAGCATCCACAAAGCAACCATCCTCCAAACATTTCAACTGTTTCTCAGGCTTCCCTCTTGTTCCTCCTCATCTACCACCTCATCCTGCCCAACACACCTATCACCAACCCTGGGCTCACCACCAGTTTGGCACGAGACTGCTGGGCAAGTCACTTCACACACCAGAAGAAGATACTAAGCTTTTTCTTACAGTTACCCTGATCTTGGTTGAGTCTTTAGAGGTGACCAGATACAAACACAGAGCAGAAGGTCAATAATCCTGAGGCAGGACCCTGTGACTGATGCGCATCTTGGCTCTGGTCCCTCCAACAGAGCTGAGCTTCAGCTCTCCAGAACCTTGTTCCTCTTCCCACACCACAGATTCAAGAGGACCAACAGATGGGGTGCACCATCCCATTGCTTACCGAGCGTCTGCTGGTTGCGGACCCCACCTATGACCACGCAGATCTCCGCAGGCACATCTCCTGGCCCATCTTTTATGTTCTTCTTGGAATCTTTGGTGTCATCCTGCCAGATCACCTCTTCGATATAGTCATCTGGTACCTCTGTTTTCACTTTCACCTCAGTCATCATTCCAGCCTCTTCACTGGGTGAGGACTGAGATGTCACCGACTCGGAGCCCTCCGCTTTCGGGCTCCGCGGGCTCCTCTTCAAGCACTCCCTGAATGGGGGGAAAAGAGGAGAAAACATGAACCCTCAGTGTCAAGTGCTCACTTTCTCATCACTAGGATCTAATTAAAGGCACTTTTATTTAATGCAGTTTATTTAAAATAAGTACAGGTAGGTGTGTCTGCCATATGTGGGCAGTCATTAACCAGACAGAAGTAAGAAAACTCCTTGCTAGTAATGAAAATAACCTTAATCCTCACAAACAACAGCAGCGGACATGGACTGGCCCATAAACCAATAGCACAGAATTCCATCGGGTTCCTTGCAGGCCAGGAGCACAATCCCACTAGTCCTGAGACCAAGGATTACGTCAACACTAGTTCATACATGCAAAAGAAAAGCCATATTCTCCTGACATGTGTAAAATGGAGCTATCTCCACCTGCATGCACTCCTCCATGAGTGGATCTACACTTGTGTTCCCTCTTTTAACCCTTCAAAGTAACCCTGCATCCCATGGTATTGGTATGGCCCTACTTAACATACACAATGATGAGCAAAGGGGATTGTCTGCAGTATAATGATATTTAGGGAGACTATCATGTTATGGACAGATACAAGTATCAAAGATGACAAGAGAAATTATGATGGATGGAGGAAGGCAGAGGGCAGTGTATTTAGAAACAGATTAAGATTTTCATCTTGGAAGGAAAAAGCTGGAAATTCATGGGAGAAATCAATCTCAATAAATAAATACTCAAAACCCCTTAAGTAAAGGAAGGACACCTCAAAGCTGTAGAATGACATGAACAAGTGCTATGATGGCAAAAGGAAGAGGGAGGTTGAGCACAACAGATGAGGACCAGATAATAACTCAGTATAGCTCCTTTTCCAAATGCACCATCACACCACTCATCACGGGCTCCCTGCTCTTAATACTGGTTATTAATAAATGCCAACATGCAGTGAAAAGCTAAAATAATTGCTGGTTCAGTCTGTGCAGAAATCTGAAGAATTAAATCTATAATAGCCGAGACTACCCAGAAACAGAGATTTTAAAGACTGTGACATATTTAGAGCCATGGAAACGCTGGGAATAGCCAAAGGTGTTTGAAAATGTTTTAAGCAGAAGTAACAGGCAAAATAAAGTGGAAAATAGGCTGAACTTATAGATGAGAGTCATTAGACCATGCAATAGTGAAAGAGAAGGAAATCCCATTGCTTGGAAGAGCGTAGAAAGTCAGAACAAGGTATGAATTAAAATGTTAGAAAACTAACACCTGCAATGGCTTCTGACACTGCTTATGGGGCTGGCAGAGGAATCAAAATGCTGCAGCTGGCAGTGCCCAGTGGGTAATTCTGGGAGAATGGAGACGAGAGGAGAGATGAAGGAAGAGAACAATCTTCAGCAGTAATTACTGCACAACCTCCTACACAGACATGTAGTTGCTATTTCAAAATGGGTCAGTCACATCACATCACCAGGTATTTTATTATTCATCCCTTCATTCTCATTATGGAATGAAATGTACAATTAATAGCCCCTAAACAGAGAGAATTAGCCTTCACCTGCCTCCCCACTCCTTCCCACCCTCCTCATACTTACTCCAACCCCGGCTGTGCTCCCAAAATCATACAGGGCTTTTTCAAGTGAGAAAGATGAATTAAGATAGAGAAAATGTGGTTGAAACCAGACAGTCTTTATGGTAATATTATTGGATACCCAAAAGGTCCATCAATCTCACCCAACAGCAGCATAGGTCAGCACTCATTCTAAAGCCAAAGGGAGGCAACAGCCAGGAGCTCAAGTACAAACCACTCAGCAATCAGAAAAGGGTGGGATTAATTGGAAATCAATTGAAGCAACAAGGTGTGAAATGCACAACACTGATAAAGGCAGTAAAAGCAATGGGGTGGTGGTGGGGAAACAGTCTTCTTCCCCTGAGGGCAATCAAACCAATACAATTCTTACTGGTAGGCAGAAAGGTGAGAACCAGCTCTGTACTTCAAGTGAAGACAAAATGGATTGTTCAGCAACCTGTACTTGTCAATCCTGGACAGAACAACATAGAAGTCAGTGCAGGAGCCAAGTGATGTGGAATGATAAGCTCATACAACTAGCAGTGATGCTAAGGATACAGCTTTCTGAGGAGATTATAAATGGGGTGAGGACAGAAAAGACCTTCCGAGGGCACCCAGCTTTGCATCACGTCACATTCAGACATAAATCAGCAGAACATGGCATGAAGTGAGCAACAGGCCGTGTGCTGCAAGGCAAAGTGCTGGCCTCAAGGCACATCACTCCTGAATGGGGGCATTTCCACAAGGCTCCTGAAACAGAATCATAGAATAGTTAGGATTGGAAAGGACCTTAAGATCATCCAGTTCCAACCCCCTGCCATGGGCAGGGACACCTCACACTAAACCATGGCACCCAAGGCTCTGTCCAACCTGGCCTTGAACACTGCCAGGGATGGAGCATTCACAGCCTTCCTGGGCAACCCATTCCAGTGCCTCACCACCCTAACAGGAAAGAACTTCCTTCTCACATCCAGTCTAAACTTCCCCTGTTTCAGTTTTAACCCATTACCCCTTGTCCTGTCACTACAGTCCCTAATGAATGGTGTCCCCCCCAGCATCCTTATAGGCTCCCTTCAGATAAATGATTGATGTGGGATGGTTTATTAATGCTCTGGAATGAAATTTAACATCACTGGGGCTAAAAATGATGGATGACTGCTGGAGGGGTGGAGAGCAATGACTGTGGAAGGGACAACAGCACCAGTGGATCCATCACTCCAAAAATTGGCTCTGCCCACGATGAGCAGCTGTAGCATAGTCGAATGTGTCCAGGCATGTGGGTGCCCCCACGAACAGCACCCACAGTGCTCAGCCATGATGCCAGCAGGAAGGCTGTGCTGCAGCCAGCCAAGAGCCACGCTCTGACCTACAGGACTAAGGCAGTTTTCAGATACATGTGCCTGAGATGGAACAAGGAGGTGATTTCCTCTCTGTATGCAGCCATGGTGAAGCCAGTCCCAGCGAGACTGGCTCGTTCTTAAAAGGTGACTAGAGAAACTGGAGTTGGCTCAAAAAAGAGGCACTGAAATGGTCTGAGACTGAGAAAAGATACTGACTCTGTGCGACCAAACAACTTCAACCTGTTTCTCATGCCAAAAGGAAGACTGAGAGATTATTTGATGGCAGCATACCATCACCTTCGTGGGGAGAAAATACCATCTTTCCTTCATTTGGCAGGCAAGAACAGAGGACGAGCTCATTGCTGGAACCAACTGAAATGAGGCACAGAACATCAGCATGGAGGGCGATCCACTGGAATGACCATTTTCCAAAGGATGTGCTCAGGGAGAACAAAGCTCTCCAAGTCGTCACACCCAGAGTACCTGCCTGGCCCCGGGTTGCTGGGCTCCGTGCAGATGTGCACCGGTCAGACTTGATGGCCTGAGGCTGTAGGAGTATATAAACGTTAGACCAGACCAATGGACCCTCAAGAACATTGCTCTTCACACACATTGACTCTGGATCCATCTCTGCCCAGAAAGTACCTTCCTGGCTGAGTTGCCTGCTCCTGGGTGGGACCTAACCCTGCAAACACCAACTGAAAGCAACACTATTCCTCTGCCATTGCCCCATGGGTCATATGCCTGAGCAGGTACCTGCTGTACGTTTTGGACACCAGTCCCAAATACTTTCACAACCTCCTGCACCATTGCATAGCACAGAAGCCCTGAAAGGAGCTTGCTGAGCCTCCCCCCCCCAAAAAGTAAGCATACCCATTAAAATAATATAGCACCACTGGAGTTTTACAACAATTTTACACTAAACAGAGCCCTTCTCTGTCTTCAGATACCTTCTAGGAGAGATGAAGGCAGCAGATGTATCCAGGATACAGAATGGGTACAGATGGGTACAGCACTGCCACTGAGCACCAGTGAGCACCACTCAGCCCAGCACCACGTGATTTGCTGTCCAGATTGTATGTATGTATTTATTCTCTCTATATATAGAAATACAACTATATATAAAGCTGTACTTGTCTGCACACACATGTATCTGCAGGGGCTCACAACTGTGTCTCAGCATATCCTCTCCTTGCACCCAGCTCCTGCCCCTTTCTACCACAGTACATCCTCTGCTGACACCCCAAGGGGCCAGTGTTTTATTGCATGAGCCACATACCATCTCACAGGCCTGGCACCCATCCTCTGCCAGCCAAAATGCAGGAATGTCATCCCAGAATGCAAGCTTTGCTTTGCCATTGACCTGCACCAGGCCAGAATCAGTCCCACACCACCTGAGAGCAGTTCTGATGACCTTTTTCATGTCCCTTGCTGTTTCACTGAAGAAGGAAGAGCTGTTCTCACATCATTTTCATTATTCCATACCCTGCAGAGATTTTCCAGCCACTGGCTGATGCCAGGCTTTAACCAAACTTCAACTGCAGACTCTCTCCAGCTCAATGGCCAGAGGAACACTATGGCTTTGCAGAATACCTTAAAATCAACACAATCAAAGAGCAACACAGTTCCATCCCTCCTTCTTTCTCCTCTGGATGTGCTCTGCAGGGGAGAGAGGAGCCAGGAGGCTCTGATTGCTTTATATGATACACAAGACGAGCATCATTAGCTCCTGCTGAGCAGGTGAAGGCAATGGACCCTTCCTACCTTCCCTGCACCTGGAGAACATCTTCCTCACCTCCATCCTTACAGCCTCCAAAGCACTCCTGTGGCTAGAGCAAAACTAGCATCAGTCCAGGCTTCCTGCCCCTGAAGTTCAGCTGCTGAGGTGATGGTGTGATTGTCCCCAGGGTGTAGGGGATTGAAGGAACAATCCTCATGGGACAGCAGAGTTTGAAGCTCCTGGTTTGGCTGGAGAAACAATACTAAAACCATGGAGCAAAATGGGAAAGAAAAGGAAATTACTGACACTGGAGAAGTTCAGATGGGATGGAGAGGGGTACATGCACAGCTACAGAAGAGCCAGGTTCCACTCAGAATCACAGAATGCATTGGGTTGGAAAGGACCTTAAAGC